AGAATTTGTTGAGGGACAGAAAAGCTCTTGACAGTGAGAGGGGACCCAAGGATGGGTTGCCGGCCATGAGGCTGAGTCTAGGGGTGTTTTTTTTTTTTAATTTTTTTAAGACAGAGTTTCACCATGTTGGTCAGGCTGGTCTTGAACTCCCGACCTCAGGTGATCTGCCCGCCTTGGCCTCCAAAGTGCTTGGATTACAGGTGTGAGCCACCACACCTGGCCAAGTCTAGGGTTGTTTATGGGCTTGAAATGGAGTAGTGTGTGGTGATTGGTGTGTGGGTATGCTTGAAAAAGCACCGTTTGGAAATAGGCATGAAAGTGTAGAGGACCAATCAGGGAAGAATAGGTATATGCAAAATAGGTGAAGGATAAGGACCAATCAGGAGAGAGCATGCCAAGGGGAGCGGGAGCTCTCAATATGGTCTGTGGATTTATCCGAACTCATAGCTTGGTTTTCAGGCGTTAGACTGCTGTTGGCTTGAAGATTGAGTTTAACTGGGTACCCATCCCAGTCTGCCTAGGAATTTATCTGCCTCCTATTGCTATCAGAAGTATGGTAAATTTTTTTTTATTTCCGAGACAAGGTTTCACTCCTGTTCCCCAGGCTGGAGTGCCCTGTGCAATTTCAGCTCATCGAGGCCTTGACTTCCCAAGCTCAAGCAATCCCCCACCTGCCTCAGCCTCCTGAGTAGCTGGACTACAGATGCGCACCATCATGCCTGGCTAATATATTGTATGTTTGGTAGAGATGGTGTTTCACCATGGTATCCAGGCTGGTCTTGAACTCCTGACCTCAATGATCCACCTGCCTTGGCATTCTAATATTTTTATGGTTATTTCTTTATCATATACTAAACAAATGGAAGATTATTCATGAATTTTCTGAGAAAGGGGTGGGAAATTCCAGGAACTGAGGGCTTCTCTCCCTGTAGACTTATAGGATAACTTCCAGGCATTACCGTGGTGTTTGTAAACTGTCATGGCACTGGTGGGGGTGTCTTTCAGCATGCTAATACATTACAATTAGCATAAAATAAGCAGTAAGGACACCAGAGGTCGCTTTCATTACCATCTTGGTTTTGGCTGGCTTCTTTACTACATCTTGTTTTATCAGAGGGGTCTTCCTGACCTGTACCTTGCAAAACCAGTCCTTCAGAACTCCTATCGCAAGATTACACAGGTTAATGGCTTAACTCTACAACACTACCCCACCTCATCTTTACATTTTAATATCTCTCTATCTACCTACCTACCTACCTGCCTACCTGCCTGTGTATCTACTTTTAGAGACAGAGTCTTGTTCTGTTGTCCAGGCTGGAGTGCAGTGGTGATCAAAGCTTACGCAGCCTCTAGTTGCTGAAGACTGCTCCACTGCAATGCCAGCCACGAGTCTGCACTTAGGTGCTTCTGGCCAACTGGTTATAAATCAGCGGTTCCCACACCCCCTCCTTGCATTGATAGTTTGCTAGAGAACTCAGGAAAATAGATGAGTTACTAGACTGACAGCTTATTATTAAAGAATACAGCTCAGGGCTAGGTGTGCTGGCTCATGCCTGTAATCCCAGCACTTTGGGAGGCTGAGGCAGGTGGATCCCTAGGTCAGGAGTTCAAGACCAGCCTGGCCAACATGATGAAACCCTGTCTCTACTAAAAATACAAAAATTAGCTGGGTGTGGGGTGTCATTGCCTGTAATCCCAGCTACTTGGGAGGCTGTGGCAGGAGAATCGCTTAAACCCAGGAGGCAGAGGCTGCAGTGAGCCAAGACTGCACCACTGCATTCCAGCCTGGGTGACAGAGTGAGACTCTGTCTCAAAAAAAACAACAACTCATAAACAGCAAGATGGCTGGGTGTGGTGGGTCATTGCTATAACCCCGGCACTTTGAGAGGCCGAGGCGGGCAGACCACTGGAGGTCAGGGTTTCAAGACCGACCTGGCCAACATCGTGAAACCCCGTTTCTACTAAAAATACAAAACTTAACCCGGTGTGGTGTCATGGAACCCGTAATCCCAAGTACTCCGGAGGTTGAGGCAGGAGAATTGGTTGAACCTGGAAGGCGGAGGTTGTAGTGAGTTGAGTCTGCACTGCTGCACCCCAGCCTGCATGACAGAGTGAGACACTGTCTCAACAAAACCCCAAAACAACAAACACAAAGCTGGCAGGATGGAGGAGACGCACAGGTGAGGCGTGGAGAAGTGTGGGGAGCTTCGATGTGCTTCCGTGTGCACCATCCTCCCAGTACCTTGATGGGTCCTTCGGGTTTCTTTATTTTTGAGACACAGTTTCGCCCTTCTTGCCCAGGCTGGAGTGCAATGGCACCGTCTTGGCTCACTGCAACCTCTGCCTCCTGGGTTCAAGTGATTCTCCTGTGTCAGCCTCCTGAGTAGCTGGAATTATAGGCACATGTCACCGCACCCAGCTAATTTTGTATTATTAGTAGAGACGAGGTTTCTCCATGTTGGCCAGGCTGGTCTTGAACTCCTGACCTCAGGTGATCTGCCCACCTTGGCCTCCCAAAGTGCTGGGATTACAGACGTGAGCCACAGTGCTGGAGTCCTTTGGGTTTTTATGGTGGTTCCATTATGTAGGCATGATTGATTAAATCATTGGCTGTTGGTGATTAAACTGAATCTCAAGTCTCTGTTTCCTCCCCAGAGGCTGGGAGGTAGGGCTCAAAGTTCCACTTCTCTAACCACATCCTTGGTTCCCCTGGCATCCAGTCCCCTCCTTAGGGGCTTTCCAAAAGTTACTCATTAACTTAAACTCCTGTGTGGTTGAAAGGGGCTTGTTTTGATAACAAAAGATGTTCCTTTTACTTTTGTTGCTCCAGGGATATTTCAGGAGCTGGGGACAAAAGACAATATTGAGATAGCACGGGGAGAAATGCCAGATATAGCTGAAGGGGAGGAAGGCAGCAAATCACACTGCCACGTGTGTACCTATGCAACTATCTTGCATGTTCTTCACATGTACCCCCAAACCTAAAATGCAATTAAAAAAAAGAAAAAAAAGACAATATTAATTTATTATATTAGATTAGGACTCTCTGCCAGGACCTGGGGCTCAAGATCAAACATGCTTTTTAAAATTTTTTTATTTTTTTAAAGACGGGGTTTCACCATGTTGGTCAGGCTGGTCTTGAACTCCCGACCTCAGGTGATCCGCCCACCTTGGCCTCCCAGAGTGCTGGGATTACAGGCGTGAGCCACTGCGCCCGGCCAAACATGCTTTTCGTATCATATCTCAATATCGAGATGCCTATTGCATAAAAATTTTAAAAGTAGCAAAGCAACCGAAAAATCACCTGTTAAATCAGTCACCACCCAGAGATGACCAGGCCCCATCCTGGCCTATTTCCATCTGGTTATGTGTAGATTTATGAAGATACCAAATTCTATGAGTCTTCCTTTGCCCTGTGCTGTGTCAATCTGTAGGCAGCCCTCTTCACAGTCTCCCCAGATAATTCATTTTCACTTTAGACACAAGTTATAACCATAATAGGTTTATTGCTCCATGTGCACATGGCACGTCAGTAACTGAGACCCTGGGTTGTAGCAGAGAAAGAAGTTTAATTGTAGGGCTGCTGGATGAGGGAACTGGAGGAAGCCTCAGATCCATCTCCCTGAGGAGTTTGGGGCTAGGAATTTTAAGGGTCTTGGAGGGAACTGATCATTGATTGGTGCAAGGTGAATTCATGTGACAGGGAGATGAAGAAGCTGCATTCTCATGCTAATTTGATTCCTCCGTGGGAGTCTTCAAACTGGTTGGCATCAGTCGTTCCATTGGAATTCAGGATTGGAAAAACATTTTCAGAGCTGGTGTGGTGGCTCAGGCCTGTAATCCCAGCACTTTGGGAGGCCAAGGCGGGCGGATCACTGGAGGTTGGGAGTTCGAGACCAGCCTGACCAACATGGAGACACGCCATCCCTACTAAAAATGCAAAAATTAGCTGGGTGTGCTGGCATGTGCCTGTAATTCCAGCTACACTTGGAAGACTGAGGCAGGAGAATCACTTGAACCTGGAAGGTGGAAGTTGCAGTGAGCTGAGATCCCACCACTGCACTTTGGCCTGGGTGACAGAGCAAGACTCTGTCTCAAAAAAAAAAAACAAAGAAACAAAAAAACAAAAAACAAAAACCCATCTTCAGCAATTCTTTTTTTTTTTTTTTTGAGACAGATTCTCGCTTTGTCACCCGGGATGGAGTACAGTGGCGCGACCTCAGCTCACTGCAGCTTCCACCTCCCGGGTTCAAGTGATTCTCCTGCCTCAGCCTCCCAAGTAACTGGGATTACAGGAGCGTACCACCACACCCAGCTAATTTTTGTATTTTAGTAGAGATGGGGTTTCACCATGTTTTGGCCAGGCTGGTCTCAAACTCTTGATCCACGCACCTCGGCCTCCCAAAGTGTTGGGATTACAGGTGAGATCCACTGTGCCTGGCCCTAAATCTCATATTGAATTCCCACATGTTATGGTACGGACCCAGAGGGAGGTAACTGAATCATGGGGGCAGGTCTTTCCCATGCTGTTCTCTTGATAGTGAATAAGTCTCACGAGACCTGATGGTTTTTTTAAAGAGGCGTTCCCCTGGACAAGTTCTCTCTCTTTGCCTGTCTTTACACCATTCATGTAAGACGTGACTTCCTTCTTGTTCTGCCATCATTGTGAGGCCTCCCCAGCCCATGCAGAACTGTAAATCTATTAAACCTCTTTCTTTCGTAAATTACCCAGTCTCAGGTATGTCTTTATCAGCAGCACGAGAATGAACTAATACAGTGGGCATGGTGGCACATGCCTGTGGTCCCAGCTACTAGGGTTGCTGAGGTTGGAGGATCTCCTGAGCCTGTGAGGTCGAGGCTTTAGTGAATCATAATTGTGTTCTCTCACTGTACTCCAGACTGGGTGACAGAGTGAGACCTTGTCTCCAAAAAATAAAATAAAGTAAAATAAAATAAGTATAAATTATGCAATTTGATTGTCAACCTTTTCCCAACCCTAGTGAATGAATGAAAGGACCCAGGCATCTATCATCGAAAGTCACAAAAAGAGAAACAACATACTTCCTGCATCACCTGTGAATTGTCCCTGTGGAGAAGGAGGAGCAGGAAATCCTGAATCTGATCAAGGCTTTAGGACTAACTGTCAATTTACAGGCAATTCAGAGGACAGAGGAACAGGTGAATCCACACCAGAGGAATGCAATCAGCAAACTCCGCATGGTGGAAATTACAGGACAAATGATCTGTTTCTTCAACAAATTGCAAGGGGGAAAGAGATGTGATGGAGGAGGTATGCATAGCTCGAAAGACTTACGGTGCGTAGAACAGCTCTTTGTGTGGACTTTGTTTGAATCCTGACTAAAAATAAAAACAAACACAGAAATTATTATTTATGAGAGTTAGAAATGTAAACACTATATTTAATCATGTTGTGAAATAATTATTAATTATTTTAGGTGTGATAATTGCATGTGGTTTTGTTACACCTGTAATCCCAGCACTTTGGATTGCGAGGGTGTGGGTTACCTGAGGTCAGGAGTTTGAGAACAGCCTGGCCAACATGGTGAAACTCCTGGGTTCAAGAGATTCTCCTGTCTCAGGCTCCCAAGTAGCTGGGAGGTGGAGGTTGCAGTGAGCCAAGATGGCGCCACAGCACTCCAGTTTGGATGACAGAGTGAGACCCCATCTAAAAAAAAAATAAAACAATAAGAAAAAAAAAGTTTCTATATGCTAGCTACATACTGAAATATTTATGGAGGAAATGATATGACGTGTGGGATTTGTTTGAAAATATTATGTGTGGGGAGGTGTAATTATGAAAATATTATGAGGGGGGTGAGGGTGTAAGATTGATTATGACTTGATGATTGTTGGCTTTGGGTGACGGGCACATGGGAGTTCATTATATATCATTTTTTCTTCTTTTTGAGACAGGGTCTTGCACTGTTGCCTGGGCTGGAGTGCAGTGGTGTGATTACAGCTCGCTGGAGCTTCAGCCTCCTGGGCTCAAGCAATTCTCCAACCTCAGCCTCCCAAGAAGCTGGGATCCTAGATGCATACCACTACACCAAGCTAATTTTTAAATTTCTTGTAGAGATGGGGGGTGGTTCTTGCTGTGTTGCCCAGCCTGGCCTCGAACTCCTGGACTCAAGTGATCCTCCTGCTTTGGCCTTCCAAAGTGCTGGGATTTCAGGTATGAGCCATTCCACCTGGCCTGTTGTATCACTTGTTCTACTTTGGTGCAAGTTTTAAAATTTTCGTTTGAAAAGGGTGACAGATGTGTCTTGACCTCTTTCTATACTGACAAACATAATTCTACAACAATGTTTTTGACTGGCTACGTAATTTTCCTTTGGATGTGGCAGAAATAATATAATGTAACCTCCTCCCCTCACCCCACCCTGCACCTTTTTTTTTGGAGACAGGGTTTCTCTCCTGTCGCCCAGGCTGGAGTGCAGTGGCACAATCTCAGCTCACTGCAACCTCCACCTCCCAGGTTCACAAGTGATTCTCCTGCCTCAGCCTCCTGAGTTGCTGGGATTATAGGCATGTGCCACCACACCTGGTTAATTTTCTATTTTTAGTAGATATGGGGTTTTTCCATGTTGGTTGGGCTGGTCTAGAACTCCTGACATCATGTGATCCACCCGCCTCAGCCTCCCAAAGTACTGGGATTACAGGCATGAACCACTGCGCCCAGCTGTATCAGTCGCCATTTATGGGGCAGCTTAATTGTTTCCAACCCTCAGTTCTCTCAACAGCCATGGGGTGAACATCCCTGTGAATAATTCAACATGAAAATCCTTCAGGGTTTCTTAGGACAAAGTCCTTGATGTGGGGTATCCAGGTGAATAGATAAGCTTATCTATTTTCTTTTTGAGACGGAGTTTCGCTCTTGTTACCCAGGCTGGAGTGCAATGGCACGATCTCGGCTCACTGCAACCTCCGCCTCCTGGGTTCAGGCAATTTTTCCATGTTGGTTGGGCTGGTCTAGAACTCCTGACGTCATGTGATCCACCCGCCTCAGCCTCCCAAAGTGCTGGGATTACAGGCGCGCACCACTGTGCCCAGCTGACTTTTTGTATTTTTAGTAGAGACGGGGTTTCAGCATGTTGACTAGGATGGTCTCGATCTTTTGACTTCGTGATCCACCCGCCTTGGCCTCCCAAAGTGCTAGGCCCTGTCCAGATAAGCTTATCTTTAAGGTATTTACCTCACTGACCTGCAGAGGCAGACTGGTTCACCTTTCCTCCAGCAGCCCATGAAAGGTCCTCCCCTCTCTCACCCAGTCACTTCTGAAACTTCTCTTGTCTTCGATGACTCTCTCTCAGATTCTCTCACCAATCTTAGTTCATCATATCAGTCAACAAGGCAGGTACTTTTATTATCACCATTTAGAGATAGAGAAATGGCTCAGAAAGGGTAAGTAACCAGCCCAAGGACACACAGCTCCTAATAAACTGTGACTGGCACAGGGAGCTGCCTAGTGCCAGGGCCTGGCCTCTTACCCTCTGGCCATGTTAATGGGCAGCTCTTTCGCTGTTGTCTCTGCTGCTCCCCTTCTCTCTCTCAACGCCCTACGTGGTCCCCAACTTCTGTTTCCTGCTCCCTTGGGTCTCTCATTCCTTTCTTCTGCAGCAAACTTGTTTCTGACAAGCTCTAAAAGAGATTCCTGTTGGGTGCAGTGGCTCATACCTGTAATCCCAGGCCGAGGTGGGCAAGATCACCATCCTGGCCAACATGGTGAAACCTTGTCTGTACTGAAAGTACAAAAAATTAAGCTGGGTGTGGTGGTATGCGCCTGTAATCCCAGCTACTGGAGATTGAGGCAGGAGAATCGCTTGAACCTGAGAAGCGGAGAGTTCAGTGAGCAGAGAGTGTGCCACTGCACCCAGCCTGGAGACAGAGAGAGATTCTGGCTCAAAAAAAAAAGATGGTTCCTAAAATTGCACATTAGTTCAGTTCATCTCTTATGGGTTTATATTTCCAGATCTTTCTCCAGAGAGGGTGTTAGACTCACAGCAGCTCAGTGACCCACAAACATCTCTGGGGCTGGGCATGGTGGCTCACACCTGTAATCCCAGCACTTCGAGAAGCCAAGGTGGGTGGATCACCTGAGGTCAGGAGTTTGAGACCAGCCTGGTGAAACCCCATCTCTACTAAACGCCTGTTTCCAGCACTTTGGGAGGCTGAGGCGGGTGGATCACAAGGTCAGGAATTTGAGACCAGCCTGACCAACATGGTGAAACCCCATCTCTACTAAAAATATAAAAATTAGCTGGGAGTGGTGGCAGGTGCCTATAATCTCAGCTATTTGGGAGGCTGAAGCAGGGGAATTGCTTGAACCTGGGAGGCAGAGGTTGCAGTGAGCCCAGTTTGCGCCACTGCACTCCGGCCTGGGTGACAGAGCGAGACACCATCTTAAAACAAAAAACAAAAAACCAAAACCCAGAAATTAGCTGGGCATGGTGGCATGCACTTATAGTACCAGTTACTCAGAAGTCTGAGGCATGAGAATTGCTTGAACCTGGGAGGCAGAGGTTGCAGTAAGCTGAGATCACACCATTACACTCCAGCCTGGGTGACAAAGCAAGACTCCATCTCAAACAAAAACAAAAACAAATATGAGTCAAATGCATGTATAGATTAAAGTGTTTTATTTACCAAAAAGCCTGTACACGTGAGCAATTACTGTGTATTCTTTCTGGTTACTCTGGGTTGCCAGGAACTCAAACCCCAGTCCTCCCCTGCGTGACCCCTGACTTCCCAGTTCTGCCAGTGGCACCACCATCTGCGTTGCTCATGCCTCCTCCCATTCTCCTTCCTTCCCAGTTGCTCTGAAACCTCACCCATTTGCCCTGTTCACTCCCCAGTTCCCCAGCTATCATGCTGTTTTCCTGGACAGACTTCTGGTCAGGCTGCTGGCTTGCTCAAAGACCTTTGCTGGCCCCATGGCCTGAAGGATTGAGTGAAACTTTCTACCTGGGCACTGGAGACCTGGCCACGCTGCTCTCCCTTCATAGTTGACCTAGACTTGGGGACAAGCTAGATTTCTGAGTGTCTGTGTTTCCAGCCTCTGTGCCTTTGCTCAGGCTGGTCCCCCCGACCCGGAGTGCCTTCCTTCATCTCCGCCTGCCCCATAAGGCACAGTCACCACCTGGCTTGCTGCAGGAAGGGCTTCGGGGCAGGCTGTCTCCATCTTTTGGAACCTTTGCACGGCATTCTATTCTGAGCGGGATCTGGCGCTGAGTTGTCTTGGATCTCGTCATTTGAAGGCCATCCCACCGGACTGTAAGATTTTTTTTTTTTTTCCCGAGACGGAGTTTCGCTCTTGTTACCCAGGCTGGAGTGCAATGGCGCGATCTCGGCTCACTGCAACCTCCGCCTCCTAGGTTCAGGCAATTCTCCTGCCTCAGCCTCCTGAGTAGCTGGGATTACAGGCACGCGCCACCATGCCCAGCTAATTTTTTGTATTTTTTACTAGAGACGGGGTTTCACCATGTTGACCAGGATGGTCTCGACCTCTCGTGATCCACCCGCCTCGGCCTCCCAAAGTGCTGGGATTACAGGCTTGAGCCACCGCGCCCGGCCCGGACTGTAAGATCTTTCAAGGCACAGGCCGCATGTTGTCCCTTTCGATGACCCTTGTAGCCCCAGCACGGGGCCCGGTTTCACTCAACCCAAGGGTTACCCGGCATTTCAGGTTCAATGCAGAGCGGCCTGACAGGCGCACTTCCGGCAATGGCCACAGGATGGCAGCACAGACCGGGTTTCTGTACCGAGGCGCACCCTCTGCCCTCTTCCACGTTTCTCGGCCCTAAGGGCAAACCCGGTCCCCTGGAGATGTTGTGCAGGAGGGTCCTCTCTCCAGGGCTGGGGACTTTAGAGCTGGGGAAGGGGCACCAGGGGCAGAGCTGAAGTCCTGTAGTGAGTGCGTTTCCTTCCCTTCCCCGTGGTCCTCTTTCCAACAGAGAACTTGCAGGGGAGGAAGGAGCACTGGGGAGGGAGTCGGCGGGTTCGGGTCCTGGTTCTGCGCTGCGGTCCTGGGCAGAGGTCTTGTGTAACGGGAAAGGGCCTGTCACAGAGCGTGCCAAATGTGCTCGTGGCAGATACATACCAATATTCGTCTCCCAGTTCTCTGGCCCCCACGTCCCCTGCAGTTTTTCCAAAGGCAAATGATGGGTTGGACAAACGACCCGAAGTGCAGCCACGTTCGCTGCACATTTGAAGCCCCAGAGTGTGGGGGGTTTCTGGGACCCCAGAGCGCTCTGCTCCCATCTCAAGGCCCGTTTGTCCCCTTTTCTGGAGGCAGCGCTAGCTCCATGTAGGCAGAGGCAACACCCCGGGTTTCTTAAGATTCTTGCTGTGTGACCTTGGGAAGTCCCTGCACACCTCTGGCTGCAGCTGCCGCCTGTGAAGGAAGGGGCTGCACTTCCTGGATGGTTGCAGGTTGCTAAGGTAACCA